TTTGGAATTATATTTGAAATATATCATTAACTACCATGAAGATGTTTAGACAATTTTTTTCCATCAGTAGAATTTTTTGTAATAGTATGATATATTTTTTATTCAAAAATATCTTTTCTATGCTAATTATGATTACCATCTATAATTTAATACTTTTGACTTATCAAAAGTTGATAATCATGTAGAAAAAGATTTTAATTTTTTTTATTAGAACTATATGCAACAATAAAGGCATAATTAAAGAAAGCTCAAGAATGACTAAAGATCAATATAGATGTCAATTGCAAGTAAAAATCTCAATTTTACATTGGTGAGAAGGTATAATTACTTTGTTATAATATCAAGACTTTTTTTTTGTAATAAGTTAGAGTATTATAGATTTGGACCATTTTTTATTTGTAAAGAGATCAATTCAATTGCATAACAATTATACCTATCAAAGTCTATAAAATTCCATTGCATATTCCATGTGTCTCTTCTTAAACCATAAAAGATACTAAATATATCAAAAAAGATAAATAGTATATCTTTTAATAGAAATAGATAATAATTAATAATTTAAAATAGAAGTATTAGACTCAAAGCAACGTCAAAATAGATTGGAATATCTTGTATATTTGCATGGATATGATATTAGTATACACACATAGAAGCCATCCAAGAATCATGCAAATATAGAAAATAAATTTAATATTTTTTATTGAAAATATTTATAAAAGTTAAGAAAAAGAGTCAAAAAATTCTTTATTATATAGCAAAGCATGTCCAATAAAGATTTTATTCTATCATTTTTTTAAATGTGGATTTTTTATTTTTTTATTTTTTTATTGGGATGTCAAAGAGATAAAAAATCATCAATCAATAGATTCAACTCAAGAACTATCTTTTGCAGATTTATCAAATAAGCCATTATTATTGTCACAATCTTCTAAACAATATAATAGAGATAAATTTATTTAAAAAAATAAAAAAATAAAAAATAAAAAATAAAAAGATACAACATATTTGATATTATATCTTAGAAGAAACTTGTGATATTTAGTGCTATTTTTGTAAATAGAAACCATTCCTAATAATGTTTCAAATATTTTTTTTGAAAGAAGTTATGAAGGCCTCAACAATGAATAAATAACCTGATTATCTTTTTTCATAGTATAGAATACTATTGATGGTTTAGAGGGCCTATCAACTACCTTCAATATAAAAAAGATTAGAATATGTAGCAAATATAATTTGCGGCATCTTAGATTTCTTCACTATGTGATCACCACTACTTTTGGAACTTATTCTTAGAAGGAAGAATAATGTCACTAATATACATATCAATACTAGCATTTACTTAGATAAGAGGAGTTAACTAGAAGTAAGTTAATTTAATAATACCTTTTAAAAAAGCTTCTTAGAAACTTTATAGATGATAAATTTGACTTTCTAAATATTTATAAGTAATTAATAGATTAAAATTTTGGCCTATAATTAGCTATAAGTTGCACATATTAACCACTTTCTTTATAAGTTGGCCATATGTTGCACAAGTTGTCTATTTCTTGTATAAGTTGGCCATATAATGTATATATTGAAAACTTACCTTGTAAATTAGATACATTGTTTTACAAGTTGAACATCTATTGGATGATCTATAAAACATCACTATGTAGTTTTTTAGTTAGATAGTTTACATAGAAATAGAAGTGAGATTTTTTTCACTCTTATCAACTTATTTCTTGCTTCTAGTCTAATTTCAAGGGTTTGTATATTTTTTTTCTTTTGCAACAACCATTCGATTTTTTTTTGTATATGTATATATACATATTTTATTACTTTTATGTCATCTTACTTTAATATAGATCTCACTTATTTAATTATATTTTTTAAGTTATTGTCCTTAATACAAAACTATAAGAATTGATATTATTTTTATTGTTATAATTAAAAAATAAATAAATAGATGTAATTTATAAATATATTTGAAATTAAAATAAAATTTTGAATAAATAGAAAATATAGAATTTTAAAAAATATTTCTATAATGTATTCAAACAAATTTTTAATTAAAAAATGATTAATACTCAAAATTAAATAATCAAATTTCAAATAGATTTTTTTGGACCTTAGAAAAAAATCAAAATATATTAAAAAAAAATTAGGAAAAAATACTCTTTAAGAAAAAACTAAAAAAATAAAGATAACATATAAAATATATTTTAAAATTATTTCTATTCATAATAATATTTTTATATTGTAATCAAATTTAGTAGTTATATAAAAATTTAAGAAAAAAGATAAGAGTTTTGGTAAGATTGGATTTTTGTTTTTATTTTTGCAGATATATTTTTTTTAAAAAAATTTAAAGTATATGATTATTATAGAATTAAAGAGATACAATATTTTATTATATAAAAAAATTTGTATAAATTCTCATACAAGTAAAAAGAATATTTAAATATTTATTGAATAAATATTTTTTTAAGACTTGATTGTTTAAGAAAAATTAAATAAAATCTAGGCGAAGATTAATAAATAAGTATATTTTACATCAATATTTAAAAAATTAATCCATTTTTATAAGAATTTTTGTAAGGCTAGAGTTTTCTAAAATTTCAAACAAGAATTTGATTGCAAAGCAAAACTATTAAAGATCCAATTTATTCTCTAAAAAAATCAACAATAAGTTTCTATTAAAATATTAGAAAATATTAAAGCAAAGCAAAGATTTATTGAAAACATATGAATCACAAATGTACTTATAAATATTTTAATATAATAAAAAGACAAAATTCATTATCTACAATTAATTAAATCATAAAATTCTTTATAATATATAGATAATAAACAATATCAAATTAAATAAGCATTTTTAGAATTCTATTTTAGTTTTTATTATAATTTATTAGATTTTAAAAAATTAGAGACAAACAATATATGTATTTCAAATAGCATTAAGCAAAAAGTTACAAAACATTTGAAAAACTCTCTAACTGAACACCTAATATTATTAGAACTGAAAGTTTTTGTTTCTAAAAGCATATTAAAAATCACCAAGACTAGATGAAGTGTTTATTGATCTTTTTTAAAATGATAGAACATAGTTGGAAAGGACTATCTGAACATCATCAAATATAGAATTTATTAAAGTTATTTTCACAAAATAGTATTTGTAGAAATATTATTATAGTACATAAAATCAGATAAATGTCAGTTTTGAAAAACCAAATGCCTATTTTCCTATTAAACTTAACTTATAAAATATATACTAAAACAATAAAAAAAAATTTATATAAGCTTCTTTGAGAAATAATTAATCAAGAAAAAAATCTTTATTTATATGTTTTATTTTATGGAATATTTTTTTAACTAAGAGACCACTTATTAGACAAAGATATTAAAACAACCTCTTTTCTTTTTAGAATTGAACCTCTCAAAAGTCTACAATATAAGGTTTTTTTACAGCTTCTTGTGAAACTTCTTGTGTAAAAACATTTAGCTTTCACCGCACCTTTACCTCCATGACAAAAATATTGTTAAAAGAACTTAATGCCACTATCTCCGTCAATGGTGATCAACCCAATAGGCTCTTCTTGCAAAGAAAAGTTAGACAAGATGCTTATTGGCTCCTTTTGATGACAACATCTGGAGCAATCTGAACATGAAGAAAATGATTTGGGCAAAAAAATAGAGTACAAAAAAAAAAAAAAAAAAAAAAAAAACACACACACACACACACATTACCAAAGATAAATTTCAGTATTAATTTTTTGTGTATGTAGGATAAACTTGGATAGCTAAGAAAATATTTAAGTACAGAAATATTAGTATATTTAGATAGAACTCTTTGATTCTAGTCAATGGAATCATGATACATAATCACCAGCCCTATATATATATATATATATATTTATATTTATTTATTTATTTATTTATTTATCATAAGCAATCACTTGCATACTAAACAACTCCAACATTTATCCAAATAATAAAGTGTTAAAACATTGGAAGCTCATGCTTCCTATCTTTATTAATTTAGGGGGGGGGGATGCCACATATTTGTTTTTGTTGTTTTATAAATAAATAAGCAAGCAATCTGGCACCCCAACTACCCTCATTGAATATGAGAAAGTCATCACATGCAAATCAGTTGCAAAGTCAGATGTACCACTGTACTAAGAGAGAGAAGGAAGAGGGAGAAAAGTAACAAAACAACAATAATAATAAAAATAATAACACACACTACAAGCACAAAACTCTACCTGGTAAGGCAATCTCACACTGGTGAGATTGGGGTCTGCCTTCTAGTCTGGCTGAAGTGCATCTTGTTAGATGACCTGGTTGCATGTTCAGGACAATGCAATTGTTCAAACAGACAAGATGATCAACACAGTCAATGTGACAATGGATGATTTTAACCAGGCGAGTTCTGAGTGATCAATGGTACAATGTAGACATCAATCAACTCTACTAGAACAGCTTCCTTCCAGGGCTTCAAGTAGACACTCCCTAAATCAATTCACCTGCCAGTCTTAAGGACTGAAGTGGCCCTGCCTTGAAGAAAGGACAAGTGTGTCTGGTCAGATTCAGCTCACTTCCTTGCCCTTCCTGCATCATAATATGTGGATGTTGCAGAGATGCCCAAGGAGAAGTTTCTCATAGCTAGAGTTTTAGAATGGATCGAATGCTGCTTTTCGTCAGGGCCAATTTGCAGGATATGAGTCAGGGCACTGGTGGCATGACTCCTGGCTGTGACAGACTCCTCATGCTTGGCACATGGTTGCTTTGAAGCGTTTACACACCTCTCAAGGATAACACCTTATTTGTATTTGGAATGATTAAACATCACAAATATGTCAAAAGCTACGATATAGATCCATATGTTCAGAAATGTGGAAGAGGGGTCCTATCAACCGCATGATGTTTATAAGAAAGAAGAAAAGAGAGAAAGAGAAAAGGGCAGACAAGAAAAAGAAAAAGAAAAAACAGTTAGAGCATACAAGGTTATCTTCCGATTAAAAAACCAGAACATGTTGCAAAACTTTCAGTTGAATCACAAGGTTTAACATACACAGCATTGTGTTATTTAAATATCATCTAAGTAGCATTCTCATTCGTAACATACAGACTAAGTCTGCAAAACATGCTAAAACGCATATTCCTTGGTTGAGTGTCCAAAATACACTCCTGTACTTAGAAACGTCTGGCAGGGAAGAGGCTTCCCTCCATGCGGAGAGGAGTACCTTCTCATTGCAGTTCTAGATATTGTCGTCATAATCCCTACATGATAAGCTCTCAAAACTGTGAAGCAGGGCGGTGGAACACGCCAGGTCCATCAAATTTGAACACTCTTGCAACTAATACTACATCCTGTTCAACTACAACGCAGTCATTCCTTTTTAGAAAGAGATGCTTCGTAAGGAAAAGCGCTCTGTGCGAATATGTCCATAAACTCCAGAAACCTATGTTCGGAGGCAACGTTGCGTGGAAGCGCGAGTTAACTTGTCTTGCGGCCGAGCTCCTGTCGTTATACATGCTAAGAGGCAAGAATAACGAATTCATAAGAGGGTGTAGCTAAGTACCACGCTCAAGGAGCGCGTTCCAAAAACCCTTCTTGGTGCCAAACGCTTCTTGTCGCGGATTAAAGCTCCCGTTTGAACTTCTTATACACAGTTTACAAAACGTTGCGACAGCAACGTTTTGCTGACGGATTAGCAGGGCCTTTGACTGAAATACGCCTTCTAAGCTTCCGTACTACGCTTCTGATTCTTTCCTTTAATGTATGTTTATAATACATACAAGCGACTTGCGAGAGGTTTTCCTCCTTTCAGCCATACCGAATCTCAGGGAGCAGACATCCTCAAAACCTCTTCACATGCAAGGGGTCAAAGATGCTTCATCTCCACACAAGATGCATACCGGCGTGCAGCAGTTCGCAACACATTCTGAGGAGAAAGTTTCCAAACTCTAAACCGCTTGAATCAACCTGCTTCTACCTGGAACAATCCTGTCCCACGACCTCGACTTCTTCCACAAACTCGGGGGTAGTACCGTTCAACCACCACAGCAAATGCTCAAAAACATCAGGAGTACAGGCGATGCGCAAGCCTCCGTCGCAACAGAATCCAAACTCCTCTTCAGACTTCGCTAATAACGCCCGAAAGGCGCTGTTCGAGAGATACGAAGTGGGGATGACAAACCTACTTCGCTCCTTGCCAACGTACACCGCAAGACAACCTGCTGGAACATCAGCTGGAAGACTGGAGTGCTCATCGTCGCTGTCGTAGCAGTGAACATCTGCCATGCTCCCCCATGACCGCCCCGAGCTAATTCCGAGAGAGGATGAATCAAATGAATTCGAGGTAGCGCTCGAATGTCGAGAAAAAGATGGTTTATGGCCGTGCGATGGGACGTGGAAAACCTTCTTCAGGAACTTCGTGAGTTTCTTTGATGCAGCCATGGTCGTGATTCGTGCTGAATGAGCGAAACTTTACAATGCCGCAATCAGAAACCAACTGTGCACACGAAGTTCGGGAATCTGTTCTTCACTACTTGTCTTCAATCGCAAGCTCGAGTTTCTCGTAGTCGTTGTAGAAGCATCGCAGCGCAGAGACCTGTAAGAAACCGTCGGTACGCCAATTCAATCTCCTCTCACAGCAACTCGTCTTTGGCAGCGAACTGAGACTGAGGTGCAAACAACAGCCAACGAGAGCCCTCAAAAAGTTAGAGAACGCTCGACAATAGAACAGAGACAAAAGATTCATATGTACGCTCCGATCGCTCTTTGACGGTTGGAAGTACATAAGCACAAGCTGCCGCACACAATGCAACCGATTCTTAACACCGTCATGCACCAAGAGTTACAACCAAGAAGTCGGCGTAACACGGAACGAAGAGTCAAAAATGAAAGGAAGACGCTGTTCGATAGTTCTCAACGCGCAAGGTGACAGGGAAAGCTATGAAAAAGCTCCACTAAGAATCAGCAAGCAAGAGCTAATGGCACATCTGGGAGCAGCCTCGAGATCATATAAGCAATCTCTCAAGGGTCACCATGCTAGGGCACCTGAGGGAAATGAGGAATACAGAGGGGAAAAAGGTGAAATAAAAACTAAGAAAAAAGAAAGATAAACTCCGATCACTTCGAAGCTCCCACTCTACAAGTAAGTCTTGGAAGGCCAAGTACTTGAACCTACGAGAAATTACGGAAGCGTCACCTAAGTTACACGACCATGACGCGGCGGTCACGCAATGATTCGCCCCCGCACTGTACAGCTAGGATGACTCTTCAACCTTGAGACCTCCCCCCACTCCCAACCAACCGCCCTACCGGCACCACTCCTGGAAACATGGAGCGCGCACTACAAAGACGGACGCGAGGACTCCCCTATTCCACAACCCCAACCAGCCGCACTCTTCCGCTTCCTCTCTCCCCCACCTCCCACCCCTGTCTGCAAATTCCTACGCGCCATAGACAAACCAAGGCTTGGAGTCTAAAGACGCAAATCAGTACCACTCCATAATCACTGTTGCAAGTCAAGTAAGACAACATTTACCTGTAGAGAATCCGCCGAGAATGTTGGAGCCAACAGAAACCGATACTCCCCGTCAAGGCGTCCGACGATAAAATGCTCCGATTTCGACGCCACGATATGCAATCAATCCAGGGGGCGAGCGTAGGCTTGTTCTAGTCTAGTGACCGCGAATGCAGGAGCTCAAGGCTGGCAACAGTGGCGACAGCATCGCGCTTATGCGAAGAAGAATGCAGCCTCGAGAATGAACGACAAGACAACGCTTCGAGGAAAACGTGCAAGGCTCAGAATGAGTCTACAGCTGAGACGAAGGGTCTCATAAATACAGCGCGTTTCCCTCGGGTGTTCATCCTATGTACATACGGCTCCCATGTTCCAATACGATAGATTCTATGGCGCTGTTCAGCTTAGTGTGCCTTTTGCCTTTTTGAGGTTTCCTTCAGGGGACCTTGGAATAGCAGCCTCACCAACAGAAGAACCTGGATATTGCCCCCTTCTTTGTATTTGTATTGGTGAGAATTCTCTCATTCAAACCCATGCTGGCAAATCCAATGCCTGAGGCATTTTCTGACTCCTGAATGGTCCTCCTGCATTTTTGATGTTCCCCTAGTGGATTTTTCAATGGCAAATTGTGGAGCTTCCATCTGTGGTTCTTTAATTGGAACGAAACACCATTCAAGTGTAACCAACTGCATGAAAGGGAGGTGCCATTAGTCTCTCCCTGTGTGACAAAAAGTAAAGATATGGAGGTCATTGGCTGATTCAAATTAGGGTTTAATACAAGATGGATTGTACTTGCCTTTTGTGGTTTCCCATACTAAACCACAACTTTTGTTTGAATATATTTTTCCAAAATGAGCCTTACTACTCAAGTGTGACCACAACAAAATTATCTAGCTTGTATTATACATCAATTTCTGAATAACCTTTATAAAAGCATTGTAAATCTAGTCTAGTAATTGTATTCATTGAACTATGATAGGATGGTCCAAAAGAAAAAATTGAAAAAATCAAACAATAAACAATATAAAGAAGGAAATAAAGAGAGAAAGAAAGAATATCTTACAATGTCACTGAGGTTGAGCCCACCATTAGAATCTGAAACCACCAATGGTTGAGGTTTTTTTGAGTTGGTGCACCAAAGATTGAAGAATCTAACATAACCAGGTGTGCTAAGAAATATACACAGCAACAACAATACTACAATGAGCATCAATTGTTGCACACAGATTGCTCAACTGTGCCTTACTTTTTATTTTTATTTTTCATCTTATCTATATAAAAAAAACACAAAACATGCCAACTCAAGCATGAAAAAGACAACAATGTTGTTACCACCACATGTTTTAAACTATGTCCAAAGTACAAACATTGCATGCTGCTTCATATGATAGCACAAGAGGGAAACAAAAGCTTACCTTGATAACTACTAACTTCAACATGGACAAACAAGATATTGTTGACCATGGGTTCCTTATATTCTTTTCCTTAAAATTCCCCTCCACATGAGAAAAAAAAAAACAAACAAAAAAAACACATACACACAAAACACAAAACACAAAATTCAAAACAAAAAAAATCCATTGTCTTCTCAAATCTGGAAAGAATGACACCACATCCAGCTTCCTCAAGTTGTGCTGCAGACCTTGTTTTGTGTAGATAAAAGTCATTCGAGATAGACAAAGAATAGGATATTAGGAAGGTTATGCAATTCCATGTATATCAGTCTGTGAAATTCTCTTCCAATTTTTCTCTTCTGTTCTACGAGCTCAAGGTTCTTCAGTTTTCATTCATGCTACCAGGAAGGAACAGACTCAACAAAGCCCTGTTCCTCACTACCCTTATTATTACCACATAAAGTAACCATCTAGTTATTGTGAATGGTGGGGGAACAATCTTAGTTAGACCTCCCACCAAAGGCCAAGGTCAAAGCAAAAGAGACCAACAACACCCACCTCAGCAATTGAAGCTTACAACTAACTAAGAAAAGGCTCGCCAAACCGAGTCCCTGGGGCTCGTCCACGCCTCAGGTCCCGATCAGTCAAAAGTGAGGTGCCAATAATATATATAGAGTAGATCAGGACCTGGGAAAGAGCGCAATGTGAATGCGTCCAAGACATTCTCCGGATCCATTTTCCCACACTGATTATACAAACCTCATGCTTGCGTTGTTAATGACAAAAAAACTCCTGGTTTTCAATACTCAATTTTTATGGGTTTGCATTGGGGGTAAAGCATTTTCTACCGCAGCAAATACAGACACATTGAACCTTGTCCTTGGTAGTTCCAAACCCTTTGTAGAGGGGGGGGGCGTGATTTCATTAATGGGTATTAAATGAGTGGTGTAAGTTTTGAGGGGTTCAATGAATAAAGAGCAGTATTTATGTTTATTTATTTATTTTGCTGCGCCAAATGTGTGATGAGATCTCACAGCCAGAAGGAAAAGCGTGGGAGCGCTGGGGAGGACAGGTTTGTGTCCTGGCAAGTACCCCTTCACCATACTGTTTGTACTACAGCAGCCCCTCCTTTGCCCTTCAGACCTAAACCCAGAGCCCAAGCCAAAGTGTAAGCCAGGTGCCATGACTCCTCTCTTCCTCCTTGCCATTAGTGTGATCTGCACTTTATTTGTGCACTTGTTGCTGAAACTAACTCGGGTGGAGAATGGGTATTAAAAAGGTGAAGCCTTTGGAGTAGTTCTAGTATTGTTTTTCTCTTTGGTCTGTGGGGGAAAATAATAATCATAGTAATAATAATGATAATAATAATAATGATAATAAATTTTGTCCGTGTTTGATGAAGATGTTCATTCCTCTGTAACTCCCAATAAGAGAGGAAATGGGATTCATGTCAGAGAGTACATGCACGCATGTCCTCGTTGGCAACAAGACTTGATCAACAAGGAGAAGTGGAAGTAACGAACTGGGTAAAATTAATTTGTAAAATAATATTATGCTTATGCGCCTCACATAAAAAGGAATCACAAAGTCTGCTTTCACACAAATTGTAGCTTTCTTCTTTATTTCTTCTATCTTTCTGTTTTTCTTTCCCACTTGCATTTTGGATTAGAGCGATGGCATTTGGGAGAGAGAAATGGTGAATGGATCTAAACTAGAGGAGATGAGGAGTTTGCGGGGGAGACAGCATAAACAACATTGGCCCCTAAGTTTGTGTGGGTCATTTGCAATGGGAACAATTCTTTTCGTGATGGGGGGACAATTCTTTGCATTGGGGAACAATTCCTTTTATATTTTTTCTTTCTAGTGCTGGAGTTGTAGTTATCCACAGTTGCATGTGGAGGTTGAATCCTCTGCAGAATACTGGTGGGTCTAGTGGCCATGTGGGACTCAAGGCTGAGGGGGTGACTCCAGTGGTAATAGAGGATGTTTCGCTGGATTATTCCAACTTTTTTACTACAATTCCAGCTTTTAGGATTTCACATATCAAGTATTGTCGTTTTTTCTGTTGCAAAATGTGATTGGAACTTGCCGAATATGTAGCAAAGCTGTATTCAGGAAATGGAGGCTTTCAAACACAATCCAATATATGGGGAGAAATTTAATTTGGTGGTGATTGAAGCTGTGGAGTGTGGGCAGCACGTTCCAATCATTTAATGACATGTAAGGTTAATGTTAGCAATGTTGAGGATTTCAAAGATAGAAATAGCAACGGAAGGGGTGTTTTTATTATTATTATATAAGCTACGAGGGCATTCAATGTGAAAATCTTCTTAAATGAACCTAGTGAATACCAACTGGTTTACGACATGTCAGCTATTGGAATATCTAGATTAACGTATTCTTGAATCCACCACTCATTTTTAACCTCTTTGCGGGTGCCATTTAAGGCGTGTCCAGTTTACAAGAAATTCAATTTTCAACTTGGAAGCATCAATTTATGCCTCCAAAGTATCTGCAACAAGAAAGAAAGAAATTTATAGAAAGTAAAATTTTGTGTATTCCTTTCAGGTTGAAGTATGCTTTTGAATCACACTAGCAAAAAGAACCGTTTCGAATGTCTTTGTGTAAATGTCTTGAACTTATGTCATACCATGCGTATAAGAATTGTACATGAAAAAAGAATGGAAATAAGAATTTCAAGAATTCTAACGGAAAGTATTGGAAGTATTTCCACCCACCACATGGAATTTTAGTATGAATGAAAACAATAATAGAAATTAAATTAATATTCAAATTGGATGCTGTATGAATTTAAGTTGCTATAATTATGAAAGGATTGCATACAATCCAATTTAAAACCTGTTTAACGAATATGGTGCACATGAGCATGCTGGTTGCTTTATCTATCTTCCTAAATTTCTAGAAATATTAAAGTTAGAAGATAGATGTATATAGAAATAAACTCAAATATACATGGGTTAATGAGCCTAATATTGGCCTTGGTTAGAATCTTGTTTATATAAAACAATGAAATTGTAACAAACTAATTTCTCACGTTATTTTCCATTTTTTCATATTTTAATTTAGTTGCCTAAGCATATTTTGTCTAAAACTACAAATGAAAAGTGAACACTGCCTTTTTATGTTTTTTATATTATACATATGTATTCATAATTTAATTTTAAACTTTTTCTAAATTTAATGATTGGTAGCACATTGCCAGATATGGAAATTAATAGCAAATAATGTCATAGTACCCCGCAAGAAATGCTACACCTAAAAATAAATGGATTTTGAAAACCCGTGCACACACCTTATTAATCAAATAGATTTTCACAACATACAGGAGTGAAGGAATATTCTATTGTATTTGAAAGATTATTTGTTAAGAATTACAATAACAGGCCCAATAATCAGTTATAGAAAGTAATGCATGGTTTGTTAATGAAGATTTGAGCCTTAAACGTGAGCTGTTGACTACAGTTTTTTATAATTCAAACTGTCATTAATCTACACGTGTAATATTGTTGGTAGTATTATCAAATAGTATACAATCTCTTTAAGAATTATTTTTGAAATATGCCATTATGTAATGTAGTAGGTGAAATGACTCAAAAACCTTTGGCTCTTCTTTGAGGGCTGCATTATAAGGTTTTTAACAATGATAAAAGATATTGATTGAAGAGCTTACTTAGAACTTTGAGATCACAAGAATTTCATATTAGAAAATACTGTTATGGTTTGTGATTCATACATTGATGTGACTTGAAGAGAAATGTTGAAAGTAAAAAGTTATGACAATGCAGGGTAATAATTGTGAACAAGTTAACAACATGAGTTTTTCCGTGCAAGGTATTTTATATATATATATATATATATATATAACTCTTCCTTTTTTGTTACTACAAAT